CCCTTGGAACGAGTCCCCAGCCCTGGTTCCTCAGGCTCCAGTAACGTGGGCCCCACTTCTGTGAGATGACGTGTGCTGGCCCGGCCCCCAGGTCCCAGGCCAGTGACACCCGCCCAGCCGAGCAGCGGCTCAGGCACAGCTGCCGTCCCAGGTTTTCTGCTGAGAAGCCGCCCACAGTTCCTCGAGGTCGGACCTTGTAGACGCGTCAGGAAGCTGGGATTCGCCCTGCTGCCTGGTATTTGGAGGCAGACCAGCCCCTCCAAGGCCAGAGCTGTTGGCAGGGGGTGTGGAGGAGCCACAGGTGGCTGCCATCCTTCCGCGGCCCATCCCAGCCGCGTGCAGAGTGGGCAGAGCACTGGAGGGCCCTGTGGGCAGCATCAGTGAGGCCGTTGGTGCTACGTTGTGTCACAGTCATCCTGGCAAACTGGCTTGAGGATGGGGTGGGGGCATGGAGAGGACCTGAAGTCCACCATGGCCCGCGGTCCTCAGCTCATATACAGGGTCCTAGAGCTGCACAAGCATCGGTGGGCCGAGGGCGGCCAGAGTAAGGAAATAGAGCCAGCAAAGGCGGCAGCCTGTCTGGTCCATCGTTTTCCCTGCTGGAGCCTCAGGACCTTCAGGAGCCCCAGGCCCACAAGATCTGCTGGGAGGGCGGGGCCTGGGACTCCTGGGAGACCCTCCTCCCCACCCGCTCTACCTCCCCAGCCCTCCCCTTCCCAAGCAATGACTAAGGACCCAGGAAGCAGCGGCTTGGAGAGAGCCGCCCCCTGACAGGAGCACAGGGAAGTGGGGCCCTGGGGTGGGACATTTTGTACCTTCCCATGCTGCCCCAGCCTCCGGGGTTCTCTGGGTCCTTCTAGGATAGGATGGCCTGTACTGGCCTGTAATGGAGGGGCAAACGGGAAGATGGGGCAGGGCTGGTGGGAACACAGCAAACCTAAGGATTCCTCCGGGTCCGGGGTTTTCAAACTTGCCTTTCTCTGCACAATCCCATGTGTGTGTGGAGAGGGGAGGGGAGGGGAAGGTGGTGGGGGTGGAATGGGGAGGGCCAGGCCCTGCAGAGCTGCTCTGCTGAGCGCTGGGCCTGCCCGCGGCCTTGCTGACTCCGCTGACTCTGTCCTGTCACCATCAGCCCCCGACCTTGAGACACTCTAGGTAACGACCGGTGCCTTTCGCCCGCCCGTTTCTCAGATGGGAAGTAAATCCCAAGAGGCGAGAAGTCGCTTGCCCACAGGCTTTCGCGACTTGAGGGCTGGGTAGAGCCTAGATTCCAGGGCTTTCTCCCAGGAGCAGGGTGACCGTAACAGAAGGCCTCCAGGCGTATGACCCGGGCAGGGTACCCGACGAGAGGAGTCTCGGGCAGAGCTCAGGAGGGCAGAGGCTGGTGTCCAGGCCCTGCCCACAGCGGAGCAGCCCACCTGCATGAAGGACGGGAAAGGAAAATGCATCCATCTCCTTCTCACTCCCGTGGCCACAGGCAGCCTCTGACCGTGAGAATCACCTCCCCCATTTCCATCCGGCCCCCCTTCCCTGGCCCGGGGAAGGCAGCCTCGGCCGGGGACACACGGGCACAAGCCCCGGGACTTGCCCCTCCCTGGATCCCAGCCGCCCCCCGCCCCATTTTGCACATTTCTGGGCAGTAGTTTGTATCCTGAGGTCACAACGTGCCTTATCTTGTGTGCAGCAAGCTCCCTGTGACTTCCGGGTTTTTCTAGACAGGTCATGGCCCGTGACATCTCAAATGGGTCTGCGGTCGGTCCTGGCCAGGGTGGCTCAGTCAGTTGGAGCGTCATCTCTTACACCAAAAGGTTGCAGGTTCGATCCCCGTTGAGGCACTGTGGAAGGCAACGGATCTCTCTCTCTCTCTCTCTCAAATCAAATTTAAAAGAAAGTTTAAAAAAAGTCATGTAGGTCTGTGATCCAAAAAGGTGAAGAAGCCCTGTGTGAGGGGAGGAGGGGCCTTCCTGAGGGAAGGGAGGAAGGAACGGAAGGGGGGAGGGGAGCTGTGTTAATGCTTCTCTTCCCTGTGGAAGGCTTTCCACGTGTTGCTTGGTTTTATTTTCCTCACCTACATCTAATGCGGGTCACTGTCCCCATGTACCGGTGAGGAAGCTGAGGCCCCCTGGCCTGAGGTAGCTGGCCCGGGCTGCAGCCTGGCTGAGGGTTGAGCAGGCCAGGACAGACAGGTGTGGCCGCGTTACCCGCGGCTCCTAGAACAGGGCAGTCGGCATGTCAGCACCTCCCTCCCCTGCATCCCTGCCTAACCTTGAGCGCCTGGATCTGGGTTCCCAGTAAATTATTTCAGCGGCCGGAGACCTGGTGCAGGGCAGCAGTCCTCTGAGGTTAGTTCCTGCCGAATGGAATACAGCCCCCAAGGCTGGCCCCGTGATGTCCTCAGTGAAGCTTGAAACCCACCCCTTTCTAGCAAAGAGGAGGCAGGGTGGAGGGCAAGAACTGGCTTAAGCCGGTGAGGCCCAGTGAGGTCCCTGCTGGCAGAGGGCCTGGCCCCATCCTCCAGATCTGCAGGCAAAGACCCCTTTCTTTCTTTGCTCTTAGAAATGTCTGCCACCAAACCACAGAACAGTAGCCTGCCCTCCAGCCTGCCTGCCCCCAGGTCCCCCTTCACAAGGGTAGTTAAGTCAGCGCAAACCTTCAAAAACAGGCCCTAGGCTGGGCATGCCCCCGGCCCCCCTCTGTCTCCTTTCCCCTCCCCCCAAGTCTGAGGTTCACCTGCATGGGAGACCTTTTCAGTGTTGAGCTGCGGTGCAGCCGCCTCTTCGGGGAAGGTCTAAGGCTGGAGGGCCCAGGCGAAATGATTAGTCAGCGCCCATCACCTCCTATAGTTAGAAAAACAGAGGAAACGGGTGTTTTTGCTTGTGATGAGAACTTTTAGGATGTTAACGAACTAACTTCAGCTGAGTAAATGTGAAGGTCTAATTGGCTTTATTAAGTGATTTATGAAGGCCGCGTACCATCTAGTCAGTAGAAGGCACTCTGTGAGTCACCTGGGAGGTATTTAGGGGCAGAAAGGGAGGCACTGAGGAGCTGAGTATTTCAATCCTCTGGGAAGGCAGGGTCCCCACCTCACTAGTGCTGGCAGGACACCCCACTGAGTGCTTTCAAATGTCATTCCTGGGAGAAGTACAACTGCAATTAGGTTGGTTAGTAAGGTTTTGTTTGGTACTGTAGCTTAGCAAAAGTGACTCCATTGTGGCCTGTTATTTCTTTTTTTCTTTTTTCTTTTTAACAAGGATCTACTCTTTTAATAGTTTTCAAATGTACCAGCAGCAGTGCTCACTGTAGTCATCCGTGGTCCATTCCCTTCCTTGATGTCTGACGTTGAAGTCAGCTGCTCAGGGCCTCAGTTTCTTCACCTGTAAATTGGGAATGATGATGTGAATTCTGACTCAGGCAGGGAAGGCACTTAGAAAGGTTCAGGACATCCCGATGGTCTAAACCAGCTGGGTCAAGGAGTAGGGTTGGGGTGAGGTGGCATCTTTCTGGGCAGAGCAGCTTCAGGACATCCCGCTGGTCAAACCAGCTGGGTCCAGGGGTGGGGGGTGGAGGGTGAGGTGGCATCTTTCTGGGCAGAGCAGCTCCGTGCCCAACAGGGCTGGTGGGTATACCCAGACCCAAGGAGGACAGGCCCCCACGTGCAGACACTAGGAGGGAAGAG